CCATAATCTCTTTGTACAGCGTCTTTACAATAAAAATAAATTAAAAAATAAAAATCATATGATATGATATATAAAAAAAGAGATCACCCCCAACTTGTACATATAGGTAACCTATCACATCTGCTCTAAGTAACTGCTCATCTAGACAGATTGATTGGTAGTCGAAGATACGTAAATAGAACCAAATGTGCCTTGTTTTTGGAAAATGAAAACTGGGAATGTAATATTCCTAAAGGTAAAAGGACATCATTCACAGTGTTCAAGGACCTTATAGCTGTTCTGCCTTCCTTCCTAATCGTAGTTACTGAGTTGTTGATACTTTTCCAGTCACTCAGTAAATCCATTTCTTTGCTACCATAGTTGATTCTGGAGCTTGCAACTGTCAAGAAACAAACAATACCTCTACACTACAGAAAAAAAACAGTCTTAGAATAATTACTTATTTCACATCATCTTATTAATAAGTTACAGAATTGATATAGGAATCAAGGTCTATCTGACTCCAAAATTTATGGCAACAACCTGGTGCTAGGGCAGCATTCTGCAGGGCACTTTTCTTGACATAGGTTTGAAACTTTGCTGATCCTCATTTGCTCTCTTGAAAAACTAATGCCACACACACACACACACACACACACACACACACACACACACATATAGTTTAAGGCATTCAGGGAAGAGGAGACAATTTGAAGTTGATTCAGATTTAAACTTAAGGGTTCACTTACAGATCATATTCTTAGAGTTGGTGTTGCTGGGACTCCCCCACTGAACTAAATGGTTTGGCCATACTGGTAAGGAGACTATGTCTGTACTGACAAATGTCAGATGGTCATACATTCTCAGAAGAAATAAATTAGGTGTACTTTTGTCCAGGAGCACTTCATAGGATAGCAAGTAGTCTTCCAACAGATTAAAATTTCAAGTAAATTGATTGGAATTAAGTATCTAGAGCAGGCCCTTAATTTTTTTAGGTCACAGAGATGTCTCTCTATGAACAGGACACCAAATGATATAATATAAAATTAACCAGTCAGTATATGCAGGGTATCTATGTCTTCTTAGAGAAGCATCAGGTCATGTATAAAGAATCTAAATACAATAGCAATTGTCCCTTAGACCAATTTTAGGTCCTTGGACAATTTTCATCTAGTGTTTGATGTAAGCTAGCTCTGACTCTAAATTCCAGTTTCTAGATCTCACCACACTTTCTCCATTTTCATGTACTGGCATTTTGGTGCCACACATGAACTGCATTGGCCACCATGAAATCGAAAGGTAGGAGCATTAGTAGAGATCATGGATGTGACCTCTGCTCCATTGACACTGAGTCCTTCTAACACTACCATTCCTGTTATGAGTCCAGGGATGTTAAAGGACTTAGCCCATAAGATTTCTGATTCAGGAAACTGTTTTGGGCTCAGTGGAAGACATGACTTGAAGAATTTTCTTTGGTTCATCTCATTCTGTACCAATTGTCAAAGCTAGGCATAAGGTTAAATTTTCTAAGAAAAAAAGCAGAGAATAGGAAATAGAATAGAACCAGGTTAATGTTATGATAAGTGACCAAAAATTCCTTAATACAAGGGGCTCATGTTCTTATGTAAAAAGGATTCCAAACACCTTTCTTTCACTACTCTTCAGAAATGCCTATAGTGGAGACTGAAAATCAGAGGTGGAATAAAAAAAAACATTGTTTTGTTAGAAATAGGAGCCAAGAAAGTTCAAGAAATTCTGAGTACCTATCTCCCCACCAGGATCCTACATATGGAAGTGGCCACTCGACTTATTCGCCATACAATTTCTCGACAGACATCCGCCATAACATTCATACATTAAACACTTCCCACAATCCTTTTTCCCCCTCTGGGAAATCCATATAACCCTTAATCAAAAGTAGAAGCTGTGTCAGTTTTGTTTGCTGTTTGACATTTCCAGAATTGACCATAGACCTTAGAACATTGTAGAGACCCTATTGCCAGTATGAGAAATGGAGAAAATAATTTCCACTGATGAATCAGTTCCAATAAAAGAAAAGCAATGTCATTGAAAGCTCTGTTTTCCTTTCTAGCTGAGCAGAGTCCTATCATTTTTTCCACTCCACTGATTCATTCTGAACATGGTGTCAGGAACAATACAGGGGCAAAAAACAATTAGTGGGGGAACAAAACAATCAGTCCAACCGTCTGGGATTTGAGCGATGTATAGATCAAATGTCTTAAATCTGTTAAGCTCTTTCTCATTTGGTCAGAATGGATGACTTTTGGCTGCACTGAACCAAGAATAATTGTCCCTCATATATCCCCAATCAGCTGCCTTTTAATGACTAGTCAAAAGTGACAATGTAAAAGGTGCAGTGACTTTCACTGTACTTGGCCAATCTTGGACCAACTCCCATTGATTTGCCCTTGAAATCAGTGAGCTCATGGACACCTTGCACAGCTGTCTATAGACACTGATCTCTGCCTCCATCACCACACAAAGGACCAATTAGAAAGGACCCAAGAGGAAGCTGTGAGATGTTTGAGGTGACCTTGGGTTTTAGGCTGCTTTGATAGGTATGGCAACATATGTAACACCTTGCATTCTATCAAAACTATCTCCTGCACCTCAGAGCTCAAGTGACCTTTCTCTTTCTTTCTTGCTCTTCTTCCCTTCAAACTAGAACCAGCCAACCAGAGTAGGCTACCCTACAAAGATATTTGGAAAGAGCCCAGGTACTTGACAGATTTATCAATACTCGGTGGCCTATTTTTATTCTAGTTGGCTGTCTTCTCGTCTTACTTCATGTTGTTGAAATTTGTTGAATCTGAATTTAAGTTACCCAAGAATGTTCTCTTTTTCTCCTTTACCCCTAATGTCTTGTATCCTGTTTTTGGTCTGACTCTAAGAAAGGTTTGCAGTTCCCTTGGAATACAACTGAACTAAGAACATGGTTGGCCTTACAAAAACTACCCCTTGAAAACATTCTGTCATTGGTCATGTAGCAACTGTTCCAGCCCCATCCAGAATCCCTCCTATCACCAGACTTCATAATTCCTGGTTTCAGCAGGTGTTTGTGTGTGTGTGTGTGTGTGTGTGTGTGTGTGTGTGTGTCCTTGGGCTTGAACTGAGGGTCTGGGTCCCTCAGCTTCTTTTGCTCAAGGCTAGCACTCTATACCACTTGATCCACTGCTCTATTTCTATTTTTTGCTAGTTTATTGGAAATAAGAGTATCATGGACTTTCTTGCCTAAGCTGGCTTGGAACCAGATCCTCAGATCTAAGCCTCCTACGTAGCTAGGATTACAGGTGTGAGCCACCAGTGCCAGGCTGCAGCTCTCTTTAATAGTGAGACTGTGCAGATCTGCCCTTAAGACATTCTGCCCTTCTCTGAATCTCCACATCTTCTTATGCTGCTATCACTGTATTGTTACTTCTTATGTAAATGTCTCAATTTCTCAGTTGGATAAAAAGATTAATTCTTTGGAAGTAGGAACCTTAGCTATTACAGATGTGATATTCTTAAAACCCTGGGACTAGGCCCTCAGAAAAGCTTGATATACATGTAGAGCATCATTTCATATAAAATATGAAACTGTCCATGGAGAGGTAGTTTGATTTTTGTGACTTGGTATAGTAAAAAATTAAATAAATCAAACTATATAGTCTGAATATGGATTATAGATAGGAGTTCCCTTATCTTGATAGTGTCCTTTCACTAACCTTTATTTCTACTCTCCTCCCCAACTCTAAATTCGTGCAAATGTAAGATGCTGAAGTTGTGAGCAGCCAGGCCTCCTTCCAGAAAAATCTGGGCTTGCTCTTCAGAGCCAGTCCTCATATACTTAGTCTCCTTGCATTCCACCCTAACCCATTATGCCTTTGATCAGAAAGGAGCAAAGTGTTCATTCAGCTCAATTTAAACTTTATTCCTCAGCCCTTCCATGGCCTTGCATCTGTCCCATGGCTCACACTGTCCCTCTTCTTTAGCTTATACACATTCATCCTGTTTCTTTATTATGCTGGTACTTGGGCTTGAACTCAGGGCCTGGGCATTGTCCCTTAGCAATTGCCCTCAAGGCTTACACCCCACCGCTTGGGCCACAGCTCCACTTCCAGTTTTTTGCTGGTTAACTGCAGACAAGATTCTCATGAACATTCCTGCCCAGCCTAATTTCAAACTGCAGTCCTCAGATCTCAGCCTGAGTAGCTAGGATTACAGGTGTGACCCATTGGCACCTGGCTCTTCTTATTTCTTTGGCCAGCTTGGGCCTACTCGCACATCCAGTCTGAATTTAGGTATTTCTTCTTTGCAGCTTTGTCTGAACTCCTTCAGTATGCTAGGTCCCACTGTATGAACATCCAAACTTCTTTTTATCTTTCCTGTAGTGGTCTTGATAGCAACTACAATCACTAACTGACGAATGTTTATTACCCACTAACACTCAGTCATCACCAGTATCCGGTAAGATATGTGCTTGATTAGCTCCCTTTCACAATTGAGGAAATTAATTACCTTGATGCAGTTCATGTGACTCCACAAGGGTTGTTTTTCTTACCCAATCTAGCCCAGAGTTTGTGTTTATAACCACCTCATGACACAATATCTTCTAAAACTCATCACGTTTGAAATTAATTTAATTCTGCTGGGCAACCAGTTTCATAAAGACAGAGATGTTGCTGTATGATCCCATAATCTACTTACTAAATTCTAACCCAGAAGTTACCATACTGAAAACACTTAACAAGCAACGAGTCAAAGGAATACTAGGAACACCGAATGAGTTCGTTGTCTTAGAGGCCCAAAGCGAACCAAGTAGAAGAGGCAGAATCCAAAATATACCACAATCAAGGTCACATGGAGTCTAAAGTTTCCCCCCTCTGCATTGCAACTGTAGCCAAGCAAATCCAAGTAGTCAAAACTAGAAAAGTACCTAATAACTCTTCTTTGGAAGAACAGCCAGAGAGCCACACAGCAGGTGCATCAACCTGCCGCTGTCCCCCAGCTGGGCCACTTACCCCGTTCACAGGTCCTGCCCCAGTAGCCCGTGCCCGTGCAGTCGCAGATGAAGCGGTTCCAGCCGTCCTTGCACACCGCGTTGTTCTTGCAGGGGTAGCTGTCACACTGCTTGGCGCTCATTCGTGAACAGGAGGACTTGACGCCCGCAGCATTCTGCATCTCGGCCAGCTGCCGGATGTTCTTGCTGCGCCCGTCGATGAACAGGTCCCGGATGCAGCCCACGTAGCCATAGTTGAGCATGGCTGTCCACAGCTCTGTCGGGAGGATGAGGCCGGCGCGGTTCTCCGGCAAGCCGCCTAGGTACATGTCCCCCTCCAGATCCAGGATCTCGCTCTCCCCGCTGGCGGTGAATGGCGTGCGCCTGCTGTTCACTGATATGGTACCTGGGGAGGGAGGGCGACACAGAGTGAGCTAATGGTCTCTCTTGCAGCTCGGGTGAGCCTACCAATTGATGAACCAGGTGCAAGCCGCCCAACAGGGAAGGTCTGAGACCCGTGGTTCTGAATCAGGAGAAGAGGGGAAGCAAAGGAATGAAATCGTGCAAGGTCCTAGAGAGGCCTATCTGGTTCCAATCCTTGCCAGCTAAGACAATCACAGAAAGGCCTAGGAAAATCCCAGTGGCCTGATCCCTAGCAAATCTTTTCTCTACCTAAGAGGAGGCTGCCCAAACAGGGAACGTGTTCCTGCCTTGCATTCGCCATGCAGACCTGCCACATGAACGTTCTACAAACTAGAACAAGTGCCTTCACCATCCTCACTTCACAGGCTGGTGTGATGATGAGGTGAGCGCTTGCCATCGGGCCTGGGCTAGAATAAGGTCCTTCCTTGTAAATGTTTGCCTGGTTCCTATTTGCTGTCTGACTCTCCTCCAAAGGATGGGGTTTCCTCTTCTGTCGCTTGCTCAGGGTACTGACGCACTGTAGTCTAGGCATTAACTCCCAGGCCTACCAGTAAATATTTGGGGTGTTGCCTTTGATAAATTTTAAGTCCAGTATGTTTATTCTTTTAATAACTGTGCATTGAACACCTCTTCTGTTTCTGGTCTAGATGTAGGCATAGAGAGGAACTTGTCAGGCGATCCTTCCTCTCAAAGAGGGGAGCTTTCAGACAAAGGAGATAGGAGATCAAAAATTAACTCGATAGACAAGGGGAATTAGGTATGGAAAGTGCCGTGAGGACAGGCAGATGGGTGCCCCGGTAGCTACCCAGGGATTCTACTTTAAGTTCTACTTTAAAGTATGGAGTTAGTGAAGGCTTTTCTAGGTCAGTATCAGTTAATCAGAATGTTAAGACAGATCTAGCCACACAAAGCACATAGGGAAGAGCATGATAGTGACAGGGAATTTACAAAGGTCCCAAGGTACAAATTTGGCCATCACTGAGAAGGCAAAAGAGAGCAAGAATGAATAAGGCCAATGACAGACAAATCCAGGGAACGGCAGGGCACTGTCAAATGAGATCCTAGAAGGTATAACCTAGTGTCTGGGGCCAGAATCTAGCCCTATAAACCCTTGGTTTCTGTTTCTTTTGAATCTCAGTTCCCTCAACCAAGAAGGTAAAGTCGAAAGGACTGAACAGATAAAATGAGATCAGGAATGTGAAGTGCAGTCTAAATTATAGTTGGTGTGAGAAATGATTAGAGGAAATGTGCTTTTTTTGTTGTTTATTTCTGATTTTGTTATGTTTCTAAATTTTCTTGATGGTACTGGTACCTCAAGGTAGGTGCTACAATTTGAGCCATGCCCTCAGCCCCTAAAACCCTGTGTTATGTGTATTCAGATAGATAGCATTTTATACTGATACTGGCAAAGGCCTGGGACTGTCACCCTCCTGCTTCTGCCTCCTGAGTAGTTTTGATTATAGTTGTGTACCATAATACCTGGCATCTTCTTTGTTTTTATCATTTTTCTACCCAACATCAATGATGTCCTGCCAACTTCCATTTTAAGTATTTTATGTGCTAAATAATATTTAGCACATTAATATTTCTGGTATGGGAGATCAATTCTAGGACCTCACACACAGCTAAGCATACATTTTTACCAACGATCTATACCCCAGCCCATTTATATGTTGCTTTGGATTTGACCCTCAAAAGCAATCTTGCAAAGAGTGACTATTGTCTCTACTGTAAAACCTGGAAAATTAGTATTTATCTCTCTTACTATCTTCTCATACACAGCCTCCCTTCTATATCTTCCAATGTGATCACCAGCTAAAGTGGAGGAATCTATCAATCAATCAATCAATCTAGATAGACAGATCCTCCACTTTAGATAGATAGATAGATAGATTCCTCCACTTTAGCTAGCTAGCTAGCTAGATAAGTAAGGACGGTAGCAGAATTGCTTTACAATTTAGTCTTTTCTATATCCCATGGAAACCTGGCCTCTAGATATGTCAGCAGTCCTGTTTTGAGTGCATTTTTCATGTTTTAAGACTCAGTTCCACAACTCCAGAGAGAGCATAAGTGTTTTCCTGGATAATTTTTCCATTATATTATTCTGAACAAAGTCAGGGGTCAAAGGTACCATACATAAGCACTCTTTTTTTTATACCCATTTTAGAATTAGTTTATAATTTAGTAAATATTATTACATGAAATTTAGATGATCATGTGAAAATATTAAGCTACACTTCTTTCCCAGCATAATAATTGTTTATCCAATAAAAGGGTTTGATCAAATTTGTCAGCAATTAAAAGAAGTTTCTAATGCTATGGCTTCCAGGTATGAAATTCAGCACTTACAAAATCTAAATGTATTTGCCACTGATGGGTCCACTGGCAGTTCTAACAAAACAAAAGAGCTACCCTACTGACAAAAGCAATATGTGTTGGGAACAAACAGAATTAAACATATGGTGGTTGTAAGTGTTCTGGCCAATAATTGATACACATAGGTAATTGTCAACTGGGTCAAAGTGTAGGTTAGATAGATACAAAACCCTTTAACCACAGCCTGGCTCCACAGCAGAGGGTTGTGTTTTTATTTTCTGTTATTGTTTTTGCTAATTCTGAGATAGCTTTCTAGCTCTGTTCCTGCTGGCATTTTATTGATAAACTTGAGAGAGAAATTCAGCCTCCAGAGAAAGTAATTTGTGTATCTATGTGTGTGTGTCTGTGTGTTTCTCTTCAAAAAGCACAAAATGTTCATTCTTGCTCAACAAGCACGTTTAATTTGAGTCCTTTTGGTTCCAATCAGATTTCTGAGTTAGTAAGAGATTCCTAATGGGCAATAAAACATCCAGGACTGCGGTCTGCTTCCATCTATTCTCTGTGCAGAAGCCATCTGACTCTTCCTAGGGCAATGTTCCCATCAATGCCATCCTTCCAGTTCTAGAAATACATAGACAAAACATCCCTTTGGCACTCAGCTATCTCTTGGGAGAACCTCTTCCTTTTCCCTACTGGGCCAAAGGTACCTAGACATAAAATATCCAAATGAAGACTTTGTAAAATGTTTACCAAGAGAGTGTGAATCCCTACAGATATGAAAATATAGTAGCCAAGACCTTTCTGGTCTATAGTCTACCTAAAGACTACCAAAAATGAGTGTGAAATCCAAAGCCTCTCATTCCTCCTCTGGGAGAACATCTTTTCTGTTAGAGCAAGTTTCAACCTTCATTACCTCACGGGCCTTAGACCTTAGAAAGCTAGGCAGACTGTTCAGGCATTCAAAATCTCATATTCACTGTTCCTGTTTTTTACCCTGTTTGTTACTGTTCCAGAGTGGTGATGTACTGCCTAGGGCTACAGCTTGCTTGATCTGCAGCTGTAGAAACAAACAAAGCCATTTAAACCAAATGGAAAAGGTTAGGAAGAGGAAAGGAGAGTTAAGGGGATCTGAGTAGAAGAGGGAACTAGAGGCATTCACACCAAAGGAAGGCTTTAAATTGAACATGACTTCAGGAAAAATCAATTTGCTTTTCCTTTCCCTGTCATCGTTTCTCCTTGCAAGATGACTCTTGACAAAACTGAAGGGGGTACAATTGCATGAGCTCTCAGTGAAGCTTATCTTACAGAGTAATCACATAATGCAACGTCTGTGATGTCACAGTTGGTTTCCTTGGTGATGAGCTAAAGGAGAAGAGGAACAAAGAGGAAGATTCCACCAGTGATAAGACAGTCATTTTTGGTAAGAACGGAAAGACTACTGGTTCCAGGGTCTTTGAACGCTCTCTGAGATGGTTGTGCAAAGTCTGACAAGGAAAATGTGTGGGAATGTGAGCTGCTATGAGACAGGAGTCCTGTTCAAAAACTATCTTCCAACTGGCACCGAAGAGACTCATTTTAGATTTGATGAACAGGCAAGTGAGAAAAAATTAAATAGAAATATTAAACCAGGAGGAAATAAAAAAGGTGACAGCTTTGAGTCGAGTCTCGGTCACATACCCAGCCTCTTCCTACCTGATCTGCCATCTCTCTGAATATCCACGTGGTACCATTCCCCATCATTGGCTTTCTTCTGAGTGGCCTTCACCTTGATGGTGCCAGAGCCCATGTCAAGCAGCAAGTACAGGTTGCCATCCAGAAGTTCCACAGCAAAAAAGTCGACTTTTGTGTTCTTTTGGCTCCGAGCATCCTTCCTCTCTTGAGGCTTCCCGTGAGTGAAAAGAATCAAGCCGTTGGGCTCAGTGGTGCGAAAGTCAAAGGAGATAGAACCCATACGTTTGGTGTTCCACTTGGGCAAGCTGATGTAAGCCTCTGGGGTCTCGAAGTTGATGGGGTCTAGTGTAGCCACATTCTCACACTTGAACACAACTTCACCATAGATTTTCATCTTGGTGTCCCCAATCCGGGCCAGGCGAGACAGCTCCAGACGGATGTCATTATTCTTATAAACAACCTGTCAAAAGCCAAACCAAAGTGCCATATGAATCAATCTTGCAAACAGTATCTATCCATCACTCACAGGGCATCTAGAGAAAAGGCTCAGGAAGAGGCTTCAGGACACAATGGATTGAAACAACATGAGACACATGAGACATATTACACAAAAAGCATCCAAAGAGATGTCTGGTATGCGCAGAAGCTCTGATGCCTCCACATTTCCATCATATCCCTTTGTCCTTTCCACAAATCTCTTGTGTTTTCAGAAATTTACAGTGTGAACTTGTAAGTACAATTCAAGAGATACTAAGATGAACTCATACAAATACTTTTATCCAAATGCATTATTACCTGAACCATCCTTAGTAAAAGACCAGAAGCATCAGCCGGGTGCCAATGGCTCACACCTGTAATCCTTGCTACTCAGGAGACTGAGATCTGAGGATTATAGTTCGAAGCTAGCCTAGGCAGGAAACTCCATGAGACTCTTACCTCCAATTAACCACCAGAAAACTGGAAGTGGTGCTGTGGCTTAAGTGGTAGAGCACTTGCCTTGAGCTGAAGAGCTCAGGCACAGCACCCAGGCCCAGAGTTCAAGCCCCATGACTGACAATAACAACAAAAAAGACCAGAAGTGGCACCTTGATCACCTTGTGGTAAAACATCACCATTATAATGGAATATTACACATTCAATAAAAGTAGGAATTGCCTTCTAGTTTGGGTATGAAGGCCCTCAGAGTCATATGGTTCAGTGAAAGTACACATACATGCTATCATTGTGTAATGATGGCAGGGAAAGATGAAGAGTGTGATAAGTCCAGATGTTCATAAGCATAAAATATCTTTGGAAAGAAACACAAATATGAAGTTGTCATTGAACAGTAGATTTGTAGGGTTTATTGAAATAATTTACATTTAACATTGTCCTATTTGAATTTTAAATCGTGTGCTTGTTCAGTTGATCTTTTTTAAAAGGGTCTTTTTTGTTGTTATTGTTTTGTTGTGTTGTATTGTGATGCATTGACTCTGCCCTTGCTATGGTCATACACTGAGATATTCTGAAGTTCTAGATCAGTCAGCTGGCACATTTCTTTAGTAAAGAGGGAGGACCAAGAATATTGTACCAGAGACTAGTTTCCACTGGAAGTTAGTTCAGCAGATCACATCATATAGAGCTCATTTAATTCATACCATCCAGAACAATTTCCCTCCCATTCAAGTCCTAGGATAATACATAACTATTTGCCTTCCATCCCCCATTACCAGGAGAGAATCAAGCAGAGCTGTTTGACTTTTTTCTCTTTTTGTTGGTTGTGGGGCTTGAATTCAGGGCCTGGATGCTGTCCCTGAGCTTTTGTGCTCAAGGGTAGCATTCTACTACCTTGAGCCACAACTCTACTTCCAGTTTTCTGGTGGTAAATTGGAGAAGAGGTTTAAAGACTTTCCTGCCCATGCTGGCTTTGAATCAGGATCCTCAGATCTCAGCTTCCTAAGTAGCTAAGATTTACAGCATGAGCCACCAGCACTTGGCCTGTTTGGCTTTTAATAGATACTAAGATAGTGATGTGTAACTATGACAAGATACTGAAAATGTTTCACCCACTATGTACCCTTGATCATGCTACTAACCCTATGAGAAAAATAATGATGCTAACACTTATCCAGCACTTGCCAGCAGGTACTCTGTTACAGATTTTATTACCCACCATCCCATTAGATCTTAACAACACCCATTTGGAATACCTAGAATTATTCTTTTATTTTACAGATGCAAAATACACAGAAAGGGTAGTTAAGGAGCACCCCCACAGGCCCAGAGCTGGTAAGTGACAGAGCGGGACTTGAACCCAGGCAGTTAGCTCAAGGTATATGTGCTTCAGCAGTGTAGGCACCTAGAACCAGGTCATACCAGCAGAACCATGAAAGCTCATTGTTAGCGTTGTGGAAAGTCATACACACTTAGCTTCCCAGCTGAATTTCTTCTTTTAGCTCTACCAGATTGAGCATGTGGGAAAGGGGAAACTTCAGGAGCCTTGGACAACCATGCAAGTGAGAAAACCGAGGATTAGCAGCATCTCTTGTCTAACCTCTGCTGTAACTCTTCAGTTGTGAGATCTCTATGGCAGAACCAAACTTCAGCCTTTTTCTCTTTGTAGGTGAAATGCCTGTGACTAGAACTCCTTGTACAGATTAATTGTTAATGGATAACAGAAACTCTTCCCAAAGAAACAGATGAGGGCTCAGATTTATTGAACGATACATGGAAAAAGAGCTGGGCATCCATCCCTATAGGAGGCCAGGGCAGAAGGTAAAAAGGCAAAGGGGCTTTGTACCAGATGGGAGCAATTCTTCTGTGGGAAGGGCACATCACTGACACTGGGACAGAAGGTGATAACCAGAGCATAGATTTCTGAAGTAAGCAGGAGAATCAAGGGCTAGAAACTGATTGGACAGAGATAATTAGACTTTGTGTCAAAGTCTCTTAATAGGTGAGCAGTCTACCGACTCCATGGCCCTGAAATTCCTTGTCTATTTATATGCAATCTCTGCTATGGTGCAAAGAGCCACCCCCTTTTTTACTGATGGTTCAGCAACCTTTCTGAATCTCCACTTAATTCATTTCTAAGTGTGGAAGCATCAATACCGTTCCTTAAAAACTTCCACCCTTGGTCCCCACAGTTATTGTCAAGATTGAATGAGATGTCATTCATGGTAGCACACAGAAAATTATCAACTTGCACACAAATCTAGAAAAAGTCATACTACATCTTCATCTTCAACAGCATTGGGGTTCTACTGGGAGCAGAAGGCACTGAAATGAGATTCTGTGAAAGATCTACTAAGAATACGGAAAAGGGTCTTGCAACTGGCAATACTCAAGTGAGGAGCTCCATTGCTGGCCTCTCTGCCTTCTCTACCCAATCACACTGTGCAGATTTACAGCACTGACCATGGGGAAGTATATTGGTACCTTATTAAGTACAATGAGGTGAAAGAAGCCCTGCTGGGCCCCTCTACAAGGTGAAGTTCCACCTGATACAGTATTTTCTGTAAAATCAGGCTCTCAATTACATGAATATCCTCAAATGATAGAACTAGTCTCAGACTTGAGATGAGGTCTCTGGGCAAATATACATAGATTCCCTCATGATCCTGGTGCAGAGTCATGCAGGAAAAACCTCAGGAATAAGGCAAGCTATAGGTGCAGGAATAATGTTTGAAATAGAGCTTCCATCTATAGAGATCCTACTATGTGCTAGGCTCTCTAAATTCACTGTGTCATCCACAATCAGTAAATGACATAGGTAATACTATCTAAGACAGTATAACCCATGAAGGACAAAATAAGGAGTTGAGTTCTTATTTTGTTCACTGCCCTGGAGTAACAGCATGGCCTAGGATTGATGGTTTCTAGGCACTCAATGAGCTCATGCCCACACATAAAGCAGAGACCCCATCATGTACAAACATGCATTAGACTCCATCTTGTTGTGCAAAATCCTTTACACCATATTGGGAGCCCAGTGTAATGGTTTCTGCCTGCTCAGAATCCATTAGAGGACTGTATGTGAGCTCAGCTGTTAGTGTTTCTGAATCTTTGACCACCAGGTTTCCCCAGATGAAGTGCCTTCCTGTCTGAGCTGTTTAAATGATGCTTCTTCCCCAGAACCTACATTCAAACTCATTCCCTCTCTTGTTACTCTGGTACTGGCTGATCATATCACTTGATGAATCAGAATCCTTTTTTGCCTGGAAATGATGAAGCTGTTTGCCCTGTTTCCCAATCTACTTATCTGGATTGGAAAATGAGACTAGACTACCCATACACATTGTGCCCTGGGTATATTACCTTCATCCATGATAATTGACCTAAGGCAGGTCCCCAAGAATACATTTAAAGGTTGGACCATTTCCTTTCTCAGAACTGTGATCTTCTTCCCTCTTTCGTCTTATCCCAGCCTGCTGTTCTCAACCCCCAGAAAAGTGTTTCCACATGCTATATGATAAATGCCATCTCCCTAGCATTCCAGCAAGGGTTCTGGAAAGATCCAGCAAATGTGCCCTGCATTGCACAGAGAGCCTCTTAGGCTTATTTTGCCTGCAGTAGAATAAGAGGTTCACCACCTACTCTTTTCTCATTTTTAAGACATCTTGAATCTTCTATGAGACTCTATAGGACAATTTCAGTAAAAAAAAAAAAACAAAAAAACTATGAGCTCTGCTATCAGGTCAGTTGCTTATGGGTATATGACTTGGCCACTGAGCTCCACTGTGCTGACCCAGGCTAGTAGGAGGTGGTTAAAGGTAAGGATGCTGGGGACATGCTCTGCAGCATCTGGTGTGTACAAAACAGCCAGGGAAGAAGCCAGTATTGGGTACTTTGAGTGAAGCAGTATTGACTTCAGATCTTGATAAGTCATTTTCCTACCTTACATTCACCACACAGACAACAAATACATGTGTGTGTGTGCATGTGCATGCATGCATGCGTGTGTTTGTATATTTATCTTCTAGCTCAATTTAATCATTTGACAATAGATAATAAATGAGATTTTTGTTGTTGCTGTTGTTAATTTCAGCTTCCAGGATGGTGTAGATTTTAAGATAAAACTTTTGGACTAATCTTATCATTGTGTGACATTCCTTCTCAGAGTTAAAAAAAAAAAGTGCCTAAGAATCCCTGATGCTTTCACAGAATCACACATCCTCCTGTCTCTGCCTTTCCCTCTGTGTTTCAGGCAATCGATAACTTTGGTCTTCTGTGATTTCTCCCTCCAAACAGTCTGCTCCAGTCATCTGTCACTTCAGACTCTTAGCTTTGTTATCTCTGAATAAGCTCAGGTCTGGTCTTTTCAATAGACAACTAATGGGAAAAAGATGTATAATACCTTTTAAATTCTGAAACAACTCCTAATGGTATTTATTTAATAAACACTTACATCTTCATTAAATTTGATGTTGGACTCCAGTGTTAGTTTAGGCAAAATATTTACTTGTCTTAGCCTTGCATCTT